TGTGTCTTCCTTGGCCAGTTGCACCCAGGAACAAACTCCTCACTGGAGGTCACACACTACCTGTGACCAGGTAAACAGTTGCACAAAGTTTGCAAGGAAGAGGAGAGTGAATGTTAAACTCAGGATGAGGCCCAGAAAAATCCCCATTTAACCATGATCAAATCTCACTATGAGCTCAAATCTTACTATTTAGGTGCTGTGTAAGTCTTCACTACTGCAGGCATCCAAGAGGATGGTGCTCATCCATTTGAAGAAGTTTTACACTCAAACTATTCCCATTTGGGCATTCACAGCATTATATAAAACCTGAGAAAAAAAGGCCAGAAGGACTCCCATCTGCTCAAGACACAATATTAATGAAATGTATGAGTCCTAGGCTCAGAATGACAGCTCTTGGTAGGCATAGACCCAGAGGAGAAGTGAGTGTTGTGTCTGCTCCCAATATCAGTTTGATGCTATCCAAAGGAGACAGAACCATGGCAGTGAGGACAGAGCAGAGGCAGCCACCTCCAGATGACTGACTGACTCTACTCCAGCCAACTAGAAGGGGTGTCAATGCTTTTAAAGTTACTTTTTCAAGTCATGTTATATGGATTTTTAAACAGAAAATAGTATCAGTTCAAAAGTGCTTATTTGCAGAAGATCAGAGAAATAATGAGAAAAAATGCACATTTTTTTCTCTGCTGCTACTCCAGGTCTGAAGGCCTCTCAGAGAGTGTCAGACCGAAATTCACCTGATTTAATGCAGATACTGAAGCACCTTTCTGATCTCTCTCTGGGCCTGCTGACCCTCATATATCATGGTATCACTTTTTTCAAGCACAGATGAGCAATGCCTTTGGCATCATAGCCAGCAACATTTTTCAGCAGATTGCCAGGCAGCTCATAAAGGTTACTAATGCTCAAGGAGTAAACTAACTCCATGGATCAATGATGCCTTTCTGCTGGTAAGGGGAGTGGGAAGCAGGAGACTTTTGAGAAAGTAGCAGTACAATGTTTTTCATGATAAGTGTCCAAGATGCATAACCTTCTGGAGACAGGAAAATGGGGCACCTGCTAGATAAAGGGACAATATATTCCACTGTGTTTGGGAAGGGGAATAACTCCCTCAGCCCAGTCCTGGGCTGATGGATGGGTGTATTTCTTGGATTCTGTAGAGTGAACACCATGAGATGCAGTAAGGGTAATAGTCACTAATGAAACCTAATACTCAACAGCAAACTCCATTTAAAAAAAAAAAAAAAAGAGAGAGAGAAACCAGCTCTGCTATCTGTTTTTTTAGTCATCCCAGTAATCCAACTGGCTGTAGGAGAAGCCTGGTTCTAATGCCCTGAGGCAGCAGCACATAGACAGATGCACTGCTCACTCCCTCCACATTTTGGGGCTGAACCCCTCAATCCCTCACACAGGGCCAAATCAGCCAGCAGGATTCCAGCCCAGTCTCCAGCTGGCCAAGCTCATTAGGCCTTCAGTTGCCAGGAGGGCAGTTGTGGCCAGCTGTAAGGCTGATACCCCATGCAGAACCTGCCAAAGGTCAGAAGTCAGCTGGCCAGCTGTGAGTCCTCCAGCACGCCAAGGTCCAGCTGAGAGGAGCAGCGAGAAGTGATGAGCGAGCCAAGGGTTCTGCAGAGGACAAGGTGGAGAAGAGGAGGAAAGGAGGGAGTGAGGGAGGAGGTTTACAGTGGGAAGAGGTGAGCTGCCTCCTGTGGTAAACTCTGACTGCTCCTGATAAGCAGGGTGAACTGGGAAGAAGAGATGCTGATTTTCCACTGAAATGTAGCTGTGAATTTGAGATGTTCCTAGGCATATTTAGACAAGCACTACAAAAAGTGCTATAAAGATCCCTTCATCCTCCAAGAACTAATTACTAAAAATGTATCACTTTTCAGCCTTACCACAGGAAAAGAAAGAGTTTGATCTTTTCCTACAGGCAAAAGGAGTGGTTTTCCACACAAGCAACTCCAGAAATTTGAACATTAGGAAAGCAGGATTTTTGTCTTGATGTTATATTTAAGAGATCTTTTCCAGGTTTCTATGTTAGTTTTGCAATGTACAAATGTCCCTTCTGATCTGAATTTAAAATATTTAGTTCACTAAAGATCTCTGTTTGGTTTATTAACAAAAGATACATGAGACTTCACACACAAAAAACCCCAAAGCTCAGTTGCCTCCCTCAGTCATAATTTAAGCCAAATATGCATGGTTTTCAGAGGTAAAATACAACATTATTGTATTCTAAAAAGTGTACAGAATTATGCCCTTCCTTGCAGTGAGTGGCAGTCAGAAACTTGCTGTAACACACCTTGTGTGTTATATTCATTATTCTGACACCATGAGGCATCCCTGCACCTGCCACCTGCCTGTGAGGCCACTACATGCTGCCCCAGAGCCCTAAGCAATCAGTAGTAGGAGTTGGGATAGGTGGAGCTCAGACTTTCTAGAACATCATCTTCTTATTTATTTCTGGGCACAGCCTTCCTTAAATGAACATGTTTCATATAGAATAAAAATCTTTCTTTTCAGTTCCACTTATTAATATTAATATGAAATGTGTAAAATCTGACCAGAACAGTGTATCTCCCAACAGACTTTTTGTTCTCCCCAGTCCACAGACTGAAGGCAGTTTCATGGAGTTCACTTCCATTCCTTACAAGGATTATTGCACTTTTCGCCTCATGGGAGTTTTTTCATAGGTGTACTGCAATTTTTTGTTTCCCAGATGTGTATAGCAAAACCTAGAGGTTGTAAACTCCTGCAGTAGGACTTGGGAGCCTATGGACAAACATCCCCCAGACGGAATGCTTCTCCTCACACTCTGAAAATCTACTTCTCAGAAGTATTGACCTTTTTGCGACTCCTAAAATGTCTGCCAGCCAAAGAGAGGTGTACATTACCAGCATGTGATTTGCTAGTGTTACTCTGCATACTTCATCCGAGATCACTTGCCAAGGTCAGCACTGTGCAGAATGAAATGCTGAAAGTTCTCTAGCTTAGCTCACTTTAAAATACCATTTCAAATCATCTGCACTCTATTAAATCCTGGGCATAAGAAGTATCCTTGGGACGGTTTTTTGATTGAGAGGAGTGAACACTGCAACACTGCATCAGAGTGTGAGAAGCCAGGAAATAAAACCAGAGATGTTCACAGTCTTGCATAAGAATTCCTGTGAACAGAAGGCTTGGGAAGTGATCCCCCAGAAGCAAGACTATGTCTGTGTTAAGGCACTCGCATACTGCTGAAGCATCTGCAGTGACAGGAGTGTGAGAATACCTTGTTTGTACCTCTGCATGACTGCAACTCGGGTTCAAAACCACTTCTAGTCCCTAATGAGTTCAGACATATCTGTATACACAGAAAGCCCGTTCTGGTCAAGGCTCCTCCTGAAATATTCTGCAAGAAAAGAACACTTACCTCGAGGCTATGGGCAAGGACTGAAAGTAATTTTGAGGGAGGCTTTGCACAAAGGGTGGGCTGGCCTTGCCCTGTGTCAGACACACACCTGCTGCTGCCCTGCTGCAGGCTCAGGAAGGCAGGTGCCACCTCACTTTCTCTGACAGAGACCCTCAGTGTGCTACAGGGACAGAGCCATCCCTAAGCAAAAGCTTCTTTTATCTTTGGTTCAGAGATGCTGCCAAAGGCCAGTCAGATGATAACTTTTGGTGACATGACTCAGCTGGGCTGGGTTCAAGTGAAAGATTTATCAGAGGTGAAATACCACTGCCAGGCCCCTTGGCCACCGAGTGCTAGCAACACAAACACAAATGGCAAATACATCCTTATCCCACAATAGTGAGGTGGATATATCCCTTCCCACTCAGAGTATTTATCATATGAAACATTTCTGGATGAACTGACAGAGCCCATCTCTCCATCTCATCTTTTTTTTTTTTCTTTTTTTTGGGGGGGGATGGGGAGGGTTGGCTAAGAAAGTTTTGAATTATATCTAGAAGAGTGCAAAACTATGGAAATTTTTCATGGTAGGTAGATCTAATTTAGTGCCTGGAAGGAAATACTTGTTAAATCTGAAAACACATGAAGATTTGACCTGGTTATTTCTAGAGAAATGTAGAGTAATGAATTTGCATCCTGGACAAAAAGACCAAAGTAATTAGAAGCAAATAAATCCATATTGCTTTCTGAATATTGTGAAATATACCTTGTGTCTTATGAAAGAGATACATGTGGTTTGTTCTTACTAACTTTACTAAATTTGTCTCTGCCAGAGCAACAAGTAAAATTCCCCAGCAGAGCATCAGAGCTAGATCATACAGTGGTTTTAGGAGCAGAGTCACCACGCAATTTCAAAGTCAAATTCTGGAATACACAGTCCATCTTCATACCCAGTGAACGAAACTTGAGCTTTGCAGAGGTGGATGGGAAGGGAAGGCAGGAAGGAGAGGATAGAAATATATGACTGTGAAATAGTAATTTTACTTTGCAGAAAATAAAGGAAACTCTGCCCAGAACAGGATATAGTGTGAGAATTTAAACGTCCACGTTTTTGTTGCTCCATGAGTGATCTCAGAATAGTACGCACTGGTGGAAGGAGAGACGAGGTCCCAGGGCCCAGCCCGGCAGGACACCCCACGTCCCGGCTGGGGACCGCCGTGCTGGGGGCGGTAAGAGGGGGTGTCCCGCGGGCAGGAGCCCGAGCTTGGCGGGGGGCTCAGCATGGATGCTGGCGGGCGCCCCGCAGCCGAGCCTCGCTGCCCTCCCCCATGCCAGGGAATGCACTTAAAGAACCAGCCGGCCAGACAGCTCTCTCACAGCACGTTTTATTTGCAGCGGGGATTCCAGGGCAGCGCGTGTGTCCCGAGCCCCGGGGCCTGCCCGCCCTGCAGAGGTGCGGGAAATCCCTGGCCGGGGGCGGGCGAGGCGCTTTGCCTGCAGCCCCAGAGGGAAGCGGCGGCCCAAGGGGCTGCGGGGCCGCCCCTCTCGCCCGAGAAGCGTTAGCAGGAGGCGGCCCCGGCGGCAGGCGCGGGGTGCCGGCCCCCGGGCCCCTCATAGCGCCTGGTAGGTCCGTCGGGGCAGCGGCGTCCCGGGCGTCTCCCGCCCCGAGTCGATGCTGGCGCTGGGCGAGAGGGAGTCGGCGTCGCGGAGGGACAGCCCTGGTTCCTCCGCCGGGGAGAGACGGTCCACGATGCTGGAGAGGCAGTCCAGGCTGGACAGGGCGCTGCTCTGATCGGCGGCGTACCCTGGGCCGAGGGGAGGGCCGGGGCAGGGCAGCGCGTTACCGCGGGGCGCCGCGCTGCCTCCCCCCAGCGCCTCGGGCAGCGCGGGGGCCGGGCCCCGCCTCTTCCCCCAGGCCGCGCCGCTCGAGTCGCGCTTACCGTGAGCCATCTCGGCGCAGTAGACGGCGTCGAAGCCGCTGCCTCTCGCCGACCAAACGGGGCTGCCACAGTCGGCCTGCAAGACAGCGAGGGGCGAGTGCCGGCCCTGCCGCCCCCGCCCAGGGGCCAGCGGGACGCTCCCCGAGACGGGAAAGAGTCATAAAGGCCGGCGGGGAGGGAGCGAAGCAGCCGCCCCCAGCCCTGGGCAGCGCCTTCCCCATCTCCTCCAGCCTTACCCCTCTAGGGCCGCGCTAAGGGACAACAGAGGGGACCCCGGGGGCCGGAGCCCTGCAGGGTTCCCTCAGACAGCGCTACCTCCCCCCATGCATCCCCGGAGAGCCCAGCTGCGTGCCCAGCGGAAAACCTGGGAAGGGGCCTGTTCCAGGGCAAACCGCCCGCCTTTTCCTGGTGTCCGGGTGCGTTCGGCCCGTCCCACACCCATGGGACTGGTCCCACGGCGTTGGGCCGAGGGTGACCTGCCCGCGGGCTATCCTGGGGTCCCCACAGCCCCATGGCTCTGCCTCTGTCTTACCATCCCGTCGGAGCAGCTGGAAGTGGGGCTGGTCGGTTCGGAGCAACTCTGTCCCGGCAGGTGATAGTAGTTTTCTACCTGTTCCCTCAAGAGCTCCTGGAGGCTCTCGATGTATCTGATGGCGTTTCGCAGGATCTCTACTTTGGGGAGTCTTTGGTTGGGGTTGGCAGTGGTGCATCTCTTCAGGGTCTCAAAAGCCTGGTTCACTTTCTTCAGCCTCCTTCTCTCCCTCATGGTGGCTGCCTTCCTTCGGTCCATTGTGGTGGATTTTCTTTTGCAGGCTTTGCAAGCCCACATGAGGCAGTGACCAGCTTGGTGGTGGCCAGTGGGAGCTCGGACATGCTCCTCTTCCTCGGAGCAGGCGGGCTCGGGGGGCTCGTGGGCGCTGAAAGGAGGCAGATCCCTGGGCTCAAAATCCTCGGGGAACTCGCCCTCCGGGGAGGAGAGGCAGGAGCTGTCATAGAAGAGCTCGGACGGGGAGAACTTGCAGCTGTCCATCACCTCCATCCCTGCTGCGGAGGCGTCAGTACGGGACCGGCTCTCGGCGAGGCGCTCCGCAGCGCGCTGGGGCAATTTCCTCTGTAATTAGGGACCCGAGACCAAGTGTCCTTCGGCTGATGCGGGGGGCCCTTATATATACATGGAAAGGGAGGCTGGTCCGCAGAGGCCAGTCTTTATTAGCATATCCCACCACAGCCCCTGCCGGGAGCTGTCTGGGCAAGCCCCCTCCAGTCCCCAGGAGACAATTTGCTCCGCACCGCTCCTTTGGAGCGCCGAGAGATGGGCACTTTTCTATGAACGACCTCCCAAGAACTGATTGCGACATCTCCGAATTTCCAACCAAGTCTGTGAATTTGCAGTTTGGTATGGAAAGAGACAGAGGGGCAGTGGACGCACACGTACCACTTGTCAGTGGCTCCTACAGAGCCCTTCCTCGTCTCGGTGTGCACATCTCCCGTTTCCCATCACACGTTTCCTTGGGAGGGACACCTATACTGTCCACTTGCACATTTTTATTTCCCACATCCCGTGATCCAGGTCTAACCTGAAAAATTATAACCTTCTTCTTAGACCTGTGTTTATTTATCTCGAGGAGCTCTTTATCCAGTAATTAAAGTTGTGCCACCAACCGCTCAAATTTGCAGATTGAGGGACGGCAATGCTCAGCTACTTGTGGCCAGGAGAGACGAGGAGAAGGGAAACCAGATATTAGTGCTGCCGGATCGGATCACAAGGGAAGGTACTCACGAAAGAAAAGTGTATGTGTTTGCTCCGAGACAAATCCTTTCCCATTCCTTCTCCTTCTCTTGTGACCTGGAGCTGCTAGGGACACAACAATCAAGCAGTGCCTTGGGCTTGCTAATTTTCTGCTTTCAGGCAAACTTGTACCGTTACAGATGCGTCCCAGCTGCCAGTGCAACAAACCCCTCCTGGAAGTGTAAAATTTCTAACCCCGCAATCCCTAAGTAACTTTACACAAGGGGACAAAAGCCTTGCGGAGCCCCAGCCGCAGCAGTAGCCGAGCGGAGCGGTGCAAGGGTCATTAGAGTGGTAATGAAGCCATTTAACAGGCATTTGCTAACGCGCAGGAATCCTTTGGTTTCGTCCAGGTGGCTTTTGTAGCTGAGGAAAATATTATGAGAAGGCAAAGGAAACCTTCCCTACCTGGGAATAAAATTATGTGACCTAGGCTAAGTCAGACGGAGAGCAAATGACCCAGCAGCGGTTCAAACGCTATGGAGGTGGCTTTTGTGCCCAGGAAAAAGGCGCCTTCAGTTAGCCTCTCTTCAGGAAGGGGTGATGCGGTGGCACGGCGAGCCGCCTGTCTCCAAGTGAGCAAAGCCGGTAGGGAAGCATATCCTGAGAGATGAGAGATGCCCTGTGGCAGCGCACACGGCCGGGAAGCTCTCCGGTCCGCACGGGCAAGGCGGGGAAAGGCAAGCAGCGCGGCCTGTGCTGGGGCTGGAGGGAACCCATCCTTGTTTCCCCGCTACCACCATCCCTGAACCCCCAAAGGCAGACTGCCACTCTTAGGCTAATTTTTTTTCCTAAAAAGCAATCATGCACACACCCTTCTTCCTATGAAAGGCTGCAAAATTATCTAAAAGCTGGGGAAGGCTACATCTGCACTGCTTTGGTTTATTTGGGGCCGTAAACACGGGGAGCCCCTTTGAAATGAGTACTGTATGAAAAGCAGGGAGTTGATAAAAGAGTAAAGTTACAGAATGGGAAATCTCAGAATTTCAGGCTTCTGCCTCTCTGAGGTGCAGGTTGCTGTTTTGTTGGCCCACATCTGAAACAGGACAGTTCCGTACTGTTTTCCTAAGACAGCACCAGTCAGGAGGGGTTCTGCTCAGCAGTAACTTGAACTCTTCACTGGGCTGTGGCGTGCACACACACAGACATAGACAAACACACACAATTTCATTTGCCGCGTTCGCGCTGGCTAAAATAGACCTGTTTACATATTTATGCTTCGTGCACAAATAAACTTGATCTTTAAAGTGCCGGTTGCAGTTCCGATCACCTTTCTGGGTTGGTGCATGCTTGGGTTCTCTCCAAGCATGCACTGTAGATCTCCCCGTGCACAACGCCAGGCCCCTCAATCCCGCTCTCCTGGCATGCACAGCTTTAGCTCGCAGATTTGACTCTTAACTCAGAGGAGCTGGGCTGTTAAGAAACGTGCTTTTCCCCAAAAGTATTTGAAGAGATGGGAAAAAAATATCATTCCCTTTTCCTTGAATATTTTTTGGGAAATAGAAGAAACCATGGAAGGGCCTGTCACTCAGGAAGAAAAAAAAATCAGTAATTAGTATCCCTTAAGGAGCCCCCGGCTCCTCTGGTAAAGTGATCTCAAAACAAATTTGCAAAAATGCAGTAGGCGAGTGGAACTAAAGAAAGGGGGGAGAAAACACGCGCTGCAAGGCCGGCTAATGAGGCTGCTGGCGAAGGGCGGGGTGGGGGAAGGGGGAGGATGGTGCTGCATTTCAGGAGGCTCAAGTCTGGAAAGCGGGAGCAGCCTTAGCATCAGACACCGTCTGCTCCTGTGGGCTGGTAGAGAGAAAGTGGTGAACGTGCCAGGATCCCTTTAAATGGTGCTCCTCACCCCAGCCGTCCCCACTCCTCAGGAATCGCCGTGCCGCACCTATTCCTGGGGGGATTCCATCCAATGTGGGCACCTTCTGCAGAGCGTGCCATCTTTTCCCAAGTCCCACACCTTTCTATTTAAGAGCAGAAAATCCTACCGAAGCCATAAGTCACGGGACTGAGGGGGTGAGAAGTGTTTGCGGTCCCCCCGGGCGCACCTCCAGCCCCGGCATTGGGAGCGCCTTTGCGCGGTGCCCGGCCCGCTGCCCGGAGCGCACCCGCGGGCCCGTGCGGGGCGAGGAGAGCGCGAAACCTCACGGTGCCGAGCCGCTCCGCCCGACTCCCGCCGGCAGCGGCACCGAGTGGGCACGGCATCTCCTCCGCCATGCCCCCACCACAAAATCGTTTCCCAGTCGGGCTGGCGGGGCCGGGCGCTTCCAGCCGTGTGAGAAACGTTTGGTTCCCCCCAGCGCTGGGAACCGTGCGCACCTAAGTAAACACATTAGTACCTGCCAGAGGGAGTTGTATTGAGGACAGCTGAAGAAGGCATTGGCCTCTGATGGCTCCCCGGGACTCCCAGGAGAGATCAAAGGGACACGAGGGGGTTTTAGCAGCCTTGAGACTGGGAAAAGTTGCTAGTTCCTGCTATCGGAGGGGCGTCCCTGCGAGCACATGGTTCAATTATTCAGCCTCCTCCCTCCCTGCCCCTTACGCTCATTCTCCACAGAAAGACGGAAACTGTGGAAAAGTCGTGCGGGGTCCACAAAGCAGCAGTGGTCCACGCAGGAATTTTCCCGTGGAAATAGTTGCTGTGTCGCCTCTTGACCGCCTTGACTCTGAGTTCAGAGAATGAGTTAAGCCTGCTGCTGGCTGTCCGCTTCCCTCCCTGGATTGCGGGCGGTTTCACCGAGGAAAATAAAGATGCACAAAATAAAAGCCAAAACCAACCAACCTAAAAACTCCAACGAAACAACAACAACAACAAAAAAATCCCAGCTAAAATACAAAACCAAAAACCTCAAAACAAGGCTTTAAACGCTGGGTCGCGTCACTTCAGAGGAAAGCGGTGTCAACAGGGCAGCCCTGCAGACAGGGACCCCATTCCCCCTTCCCCCGCCTTCCTCCCACCGCTCCCGGCCCCGCAGGACCTCGGGCCGGGCACCCCGCACCGCGGGCCGGCGCAGCCCCGCATCCCGCCGCTGCTGAGGGAGCGAGCAGGTGTTTGCTTCCCAGGGAGCGGAGCAGGTACAGGCGAGGGAGGCTGTGCTGAGCCTGGAATTTCCAGCCCGCAGAGGGGAGGAGGGAGCGGCAGGGGCACTTGCGTAAAAACTGCGATGACTTTGTGCGTGGTCCCTCCGGAAAAAGACTTCATTAAATCACAAACCTCTTGTCTTTACCCAGTTATTGCCCTTTGATTTTATGATTCCAGGGCCCTGTTTGCTTTGGCTGGGGACTTAAGTAAAGATTATCGTTATTAATATCTAACACAAACATTTTAATTGCAAACACACTGACGACCTTCACTGGGAAGCCCGGCATGTCAGCTGCAGCCGCGGGGGTCACGGAGAGTCTCTTCGGGAGGTATTTTCTTTATTTAATGAAAAAACTCTCCTTTAGGCAAACTTACTCCAAACAGTCGCTCAAGTTACCCTGCTGCTGGGGGAGCCGCTGCCGCGGGGGTCCTGCCAGGCGGACGGGCGGCTTGTTGGGGTGATTGCTCGGCTGCGGGTGAAGGTGGCAGTCGGTGCCCCGGGGTGTCTGTGCCTTGAGGGGTGGCTCAGCACGGCTCCTGCCCTGATGCGGGCAGCGGGTCCCGCGGGGCTCGGATCGCCGTGTGAACCGTGTGTAGCCCTTCCCGCGGACTCGGCGGGAACCGGGTTGAAACAAATTAGAAATACATTCGACGAGCTGCTAGCCCGATCTGAAACACTCTCTTACTGGGCAAGTGCCTTCGCCATAGAAGCGAGCTGCAGCGTCTCCTCTCCCGTGCCAGGTCGCTGAGGTGGCACGCAGGGCCCCGCGCTCCCCGACGCGCCGCTTTCTGAAGAGCCCGAGGGTTCCCCGAGGCAACGGGGTTTAATTTGAGAGGAGGAAAAAACATGGGGAAAGTGTTGCATCACTGTGCCCACCACACTGTCCTGTCCCGCCGCAATTAGTCTTTGTAAGGGAGTATCTCGTTAGAGAGCAATTGGAGGTTGTACATGACTGCTTTAAAGACTCGGCTGGGGGGTAGGAAGGCACGGTGGATTGGAGCGCCAGCTCTCGGGCAGGCTCTACCCAGAGCTTCCCCTTCAGACCGATGTACCCGTGCCCCTGATGGCCAGGAAGGGGGAGATCTTCCCGAAACGCGACTGTGACCTTTCAAAAAACAGAAACAAAGAATAAATCAAGGGCCAAAGTTGGCGAGGAGACCGCACGCG